GTTATTGTTTTCACTGTAGCATTTAAACATTTTCAATAAGCTACGTCTACATCTGGCGAATGCGCAGCTCTCGAGCCGTTTGCGAAATGCGCGCGTGCATTCACGGCAATGGTTCGCCTCTTTAGTGCAACTCAGGCAAACCTCGTATAAATAATAATTTTAAATGCACGCTGGCATATCGTAATCTACTCGTGGGTCGCGCATTCGCGGTGCATTCACCAGATGTGGACGCACCCTTAATTGTTTGTTAGGTCATTCAGTTATAGAAGCTTTGTCTCGATAAACTATGACGTCATAAATGTGTATCGCCATATCCTTACATGAAATATAAAATACCTACTTGATTTTGATGACTCTGATTGTAGTTACCTGTATATTAGATCTCTTTTTTAAATTTTAACCTAATGAGTAGAGATTAAAGTTTAAACACAACAATTTGTGCTGGTATTTATTTAGTCTTTTTAAAGATAAAATCATAGCTTCTTAGGTAGCCCCATTCCTTGATGGTTTTTGTTATAAAACATCTGTGTGACATAATTTAGTAGAACAGTTTAAATGGCGTTAGGGCAGACTTGTTGTTCAATTACTATTGTGATAAACTAAACTTGGACTACCTAATTGTACCGTCAGCATCAAATGTTGATGAACACTTTTAGATTTTCAAAATCGCTGTACAGCATACAAGCGAATAACAAACAACCAGAAATAAACAATTCTCTTGTGTTGCAAATAAGGTGTCTAAATAAGTGTAAATGTGTTCATCAACTTTTGATATTGATCATACTACTACAAACACTACATGATGTACTTCTGTCTATTGTTGTGATATTGTATAGCTTACTCACCTTGTTTACCTAAAGTACAACCTCATGGTGGTATGGTTTAATATGAATAATAGAATACCTTAACTTTTCTGTAAAATCATCTTGTTCAGTCTTCATTAAGATTTTATGGTTTTCCGAATTTAATTTGAAAGAATATTCTTTAATTAAATAATTTGGTTAAAGTTAGAAATAAGTTAACTATTAGCATAATTATTGCCATTTGTATATGCCCTGAAAATTATAGTCATTATTATTGATTATTTTAGTTGATTATTCAGGACTCTTCGAGTCAGGATGCACCACGTACATGCGATTGACAAACCCCTCAAATGATACGGTACTCTTCAAGATAAAAACTACTGCACCAAAGAAGTACTGTGTACGTCCTAATTCTGGCGTGCTTGAGCCAAACTCTAAAGTGGAAATAGCGAGTAAGTGCAGTTTTCTTTCATTTTGCATAATGTAACTATCTACACTTGTTGAAGCAATGTCTTTCTTCTTACAAAGGTGGTTTGTATAATGTTAATATTTTTGTCTTAGATGTATAGTAATGAATTGATTACTTTCAGTTACTCCACAGCCTGTGTATGTGGACCCCAATGAGAAACATAAACATAAGTTTATGGTCCAAAGCGTGGTTGCTCCGGAGGGAAATACCAATATTGATCAAGTGGTATGTAAAATAAAAAATATGTTATTTTCGGGAAATCAAAGTTTAAGACAAATTGTAAAGTTATGTGTGTTATTTTAGTGGAAGGAAATCAGCCCAGATCAATTGATGGACTGCAAGTTGAAGTGTGTCTTTGAATCTCCTCGTGGAACTAACTTGAATGTAAGTTGATCGTTAATTATACATTCATTTAGTGCTTATGTGTCACGAGATCAGTATTCATGTCATATTTTATTGCAATATTTTTGCAGGATGCTGGTGACAATGTCGCTCAAAACGAAGTGACCAAGAAGCGTGTCGCGGTGGCAGATGAGGCAAAGTCGTCGACAAAGGTATTGTTTGCCACTTTATGAAGTTGTTATTTGCCAGTATCCCGTCTACATATATCTCGTAGTTCGGGTTCTGCGTACGAAACTAATGTTTGTTACCTTTTCCGTTTTGTTGTGTTTGTGAGCTTTTTCAATTTTCATTTGCCCTTTCGCCAATCAGCCACGTAGTGTTGCGACTAACGCTCAAAGTAGTTACTGCATTACTTGTAGACATTAAGACAGTCACATCGTACAGTTAGATATTTGGAATATGTATTTACTGTATCAACATCAGATAAAATTAGTCCAAGCTTGGCATGTTATTTAAATTGTCTTACAGGATGCCGTAGAAGGTCTTATCCAGAATGAAGCAAAGCGGAAGGATGATGATCACACTACTGGCGTGAAAACGGTACCTGATACACTTTTTTTTTAAAGTCAAAGGGATCTTGAGATTTTGTATAATATCTTAATTCTTATAACAATCATAATTTCGCTTCGTTTGCGCTGAAAATGTATAAATAAAATATACAAAGCGCATGTTACTGAAATTCTAGGTAATATAATCAAGGAAATTGTATTTATTTTTGTATGAAGATATGTCAAGAACAACCTAGTATATAATTAAAATAGATTAGCTGAGTCCATTAGCTTAGCGTATCTTGTGTATAAATACTTCCGACACATCCTTGACATCACATTATCCACACCAACACACTGTATATTTACTACTTTTCCTTTAACTGCATGTTTATTATTTATTTGCAAATAATTGTGTACAAATCTTTTTGTGAATCATTTATGAAAAGTAATAAAATTGTGTTTATCTAATTATATATTTGTTTGTTGTCATTATTTCAGACTTTGACTTTCCCCAAGCCTGAGAACGCAGATACTGATTTGCAAAAAGCTACCTTAGAAGTTATTCTTTTGAGGGAGGAAGAAAGCAAACTAAGACATGAAAATCTGCAACTAAAAGTAAGTGTGTTGTTTATATAGGTATTTAATTTTTTATATTAGTTTTGACTGTTTCCTCATAAAAAGTATAAGTCTCAAGTCAAAAATAAGCTAGGTCTTTTTATTAAAATTTAGAGAAGCAAATATACGCTCTTGTAAGTGCCATTTTGCGAAAGTACCTAAGATGTATAATTGTGCGAACAATATGCATAACCAGACCTAAAAAACAAGAAACCTCAAGTAACCATGAAGGTTTGACATATATTTTTCCAGGCAAATCGCACCCACTTGTCACCAGTCATGTTACTAATCTCATTTCAATAGGGAACAAACCATTTAAGGATAATAAACTTAAAGAATTTTGAAATAAAATCTTCTAATTGGTATTGTATATAGAATTTCGCGTGGTTCTCATAATTAATGTGGTGTTCGTTTAATTATGTAATGAGTAAGTTATATGCTGAGCGTAATTACACTGAAAATAAAGGTACCAAATGTTGTTTAAAAAGCGCCTGTAAATGGATTATATGAATTAAATTCTTTGACTTTAAATTGCACTTATGCAAGATTCCACTGAAATCGACTAGTTAAATAGCAGGTCTACTAGGTCTCATAGATAGGAGCATGTCAATCCAAGCAGCTAGGACATGAGATCATCCGATCTTATAAATATGAAAGTTGTTTATATTTCGTGTACACAACCAACAAGTCATCACATTCCATTGGGACTTGCATTACGACTAAGTCACCCTCACCAGTTACCTACGTGATAATATCCTATCAAGGTCAAAACAACTACATCCGTAGCCTTACAGGAAAAATATTATGTCAATTGGAATATTTAAATTTGTAACTGTTTTAAAACAATTTTGTAATATTCAAGTCGACTGATTCATATGTACAGTTTAAGCGATTATTTTTTTGTTTGGTGTCCTTGTTGCTACTCGCGAGTTTTGTGTAATAAACATTTGCTGTTGTTTCAGTACACATCCTTTCAACTTGTGTTCTTTTAGCTCTTCAGTCAACCGATGAACCCACACTACTTTGTAGTATGATTGTCTGTATGTTATTTAACTATGTACACCTGTATTGTGTGTTAGAAGAACAGATTTTGTACAGACAAATTTTTTAAGCGTTTCTCCACACTAGGATTTTCATTATCGATGTTTTTTGTAACTGCAACACTCGCTCAGAAATTATATTTTAATTACTCTTGCCAATTATGTTATTAGTCTTAAATATTGAACTGCACAGTTGGCGCAGTAACTGGACAATTGTGTACTATGCAACGTGGCGTGAGTTCGATACCCATTTGGAAAAACCATTTATGTTATCATCAAATTGTTGTTCCGAATCTGGGACATATTCATGTGTATGTAACTATGTAAAAGTGAAAGTAAACGGTCTGTGGACAGTATAGTAAATATAAGTATATATTTGTATCAAAATGGTAAAATTCAGTTTAAATGGACTACATATTGTCGGTCACCGCCCTTAAATTGTTTTAGGCTCTTTGTCGCCCATACAAGTAGCTAGTATTTTTCGTTTCATATATTTTTCATAGCGGCGCGGCGGCTAGTTAACGTGGCACGTACAACCGACTGCCACAGACACAGTTTGTAGGCGCCTTAACTTATAAAAAATTGCTACGAAAACTCGTAGTTCAAGATGCATTACCAGTGAAATCAATCGAGTTAGCAAATATAATTATTTTGTTTTCAATTTTTATTAATTGTTGCTTAGCGAAAGTGATGCCTACTCGATAAAGGATTTAAACTATTTGAAGAACATGTTTGAAGATGGTTAATTGAGAAAGACTACAAGGATTTATAGTGAAGCGGAAATAACACTGTCCACAGCCAACAAAACGAAAACTCTACTTTTAAATTATATAACGACAGTTAGAAGAAATCATGCTTTTTTATCAACGTTTATTTGCGAAAACTGTACAAATTATTTTTTTGCAATGGCGATTGTGTACTCAAATATGGCGCAGTTATGATCGCGTTTGTAATAATTGCAAAAGTAATAACTTTGGCTACCTACATTCTGTGTGTAAATGTTGTTATGCGAAAGCTAGCACACTGGGGAAGGATTTAATACGATGTGTGTGTTGCAGGAGGAGCTGATGCGCCTGCGCCAGTCCGCGGGTGGTGACGGTCGCGTGGCGCGCCCTCACTCATACGGACCCGAAAAGAACGCACAGATTGCACTGATGCCTTGGGTCCTCACCGCCGTTGGCATGGCGCTCCTCGGCATTATCATCGGCAAGTTCCTTATGTGAATGGTCTCCCCAACCCCGCGGTGACCTTGACATCGCCTCACAGATACCGCTGTTACACCGCTCCCGATGCATCCCTCTCGCACAAGGCAGCTTATAATTTTTATAGCAACCTCCAAAGCTTCCATCGTGCCGTTCTTGTGTTCCTCTAAGAGTTTAATATCTAAGTTAGTGTAATTTTCTATTACACGAATGTTTGTTTTGTTTATGCAATCACACTTATTGTTGTTTATCCACGAAACTCGCCAAAACTAACTACCTGTACTTTTAGTGTCAAGTTGTCAACAGAAAATCGGACTTATGTTCCGTTACTTTAAAATAATTTGTTAGACGAATTATTACTATTCTTGATATAGTGCTTTTCCAATTCCAAGGCAAACAATGTGTTCCTGTTAGTTGTTTGTTAATTTTATGATAAAATGTAGCAAGTCCCTTTAAAAAATATTATTAAATTTTGTATATATTCACAAGTTTATATAAGGACCTTCTTAATATTACCTCTTTGAAATACGTCTAGTATTTATGCCAAGCCATTCTTCCGAAGCTATAAATCGCCCTAAACTTGAAATTATAACCCTCTTCATGAAAATTGTTGTATTTCTACAACCAATTGTCCTGTGTGTAAATGTGAGATAGGTGCTTAAGGTTGCTTGCCGAAAGATCGCTTATTACGGCTAGTTTATTATACTCATAACTTGAGGCATCATTCTGTTTATTTCAGCTGTTTAAAGTTGATAGAGCCAGAATTATGTGTCAAGTCAGTTTTATTTGTGAATCAGTCCATAATCCACCTTTCGAACCCCTGAGTTCTATATTGTTTATACCAGAGTCTTAACCACGGTAATACTAAATATTTTAGATGTTGTTCATTCACATTTATTGTATTTTAATGTTGCAACCTACATAGAACTTAGCATATTCACATGTTATTTTATTATAAGTATCACTGCTTATTTTATGTTTAAACAAAACATTACAATTGTCATCTGTATGAAAAGCAATAATAGGGTTAAGATCACCAAGCTGACAAATTATTAGCTATACCAGATTAAATATGTAAGTTCAGATTATACACCAAAAGTGTGGTACTATAGTGAGCACTTGTGTTAATATTGTCTGCTATACATCACATAATATATTTACAGCAAAATATATTAGAGAGCGAGAACGAGTTTCAACAATGTATCTGTGCTCTTCTAATATATAGATATAAAATAATTGTTTATTATAGAAGTTAGTAGTCTATTTGATATCATTGTTCGGAATTTGCAATCTTGGTGAGTTTTTCCCGCGAAACTCTTGATTCTAATGTATTAAGGTAACACTTACAATCAATAATTGTGATATAAAAAATGCAATGAGTAGTGTTAACAAATCATATTCATATTTATATAATTGCATTTTTATAAACAGTGGTAAGATGTCAGGGCAGAAGATCGGTCAATAGATATTATATTTATCTATTATAAAATATTTTTTGCCTAGTTTATTGAGTAATGATAAAGTTGTAACCGTGTCTCCTTGATAAACTTTGGTGTTAACACATATTCTCTGAGACACCAAACCTAGTTCAATATGAACATAGTTAATATTAATTGCCATTAAAAATAATTGTTTTGGCAATACACCAAGAATTATCAAGAAGAGCGAGTTACTAAATGCGGCTTGCCAAGTGTGCTTGTCGGCATTTACTAAATTGATGATATGGATATAAAACTAGTGTAGTACACATGATGACAGCAACTACTTCCAGCTTATGTATACAGATAGCAAGGTGATGTTGGATAAAGTTGACAAAGTCGGATTGGGCGTCAGTCAGTCGCTCGTAGTGCTAGAGGTAGCAGTGTTGCTCGTATTATCTGCGAAGGCATAAACTCGAGACGTGTCTTACGTGAAGTACTTGAAGTGCCATCATTTCTTCCATGTGGACTGGTGTCAGCTATCTACATTGCCTTGGGCACATAGATTTAAATTAGAACATATTTTTTACAGTATTCAGAAGTTTTTAAGGGTTTTTAAACTGTAGTTTGGTGCCTCTAATGCAGTCTAGAACTAAATTGAAGAAACAGGATAGTGAAATGTGTTGCTTAATGTTGTATTTAAATGTTCCTTAACGGGCCACAACTAGTAACTGGCAATGTTGCTACCCCTGCTACATGATACTGTATCATTTTGCACTTTTTTTATTTCACTCAGTTCATACTGTTAATAAACAGTATTATTAATCCAGAATTTAGATCAAAAGTAGCTCTTAAAAGAGAGAAAACCACATACTAAATGTCACTTTTGGTGTTGTGTATAAAACAATTGTATGTAGTGCTAGAAACAATCTAACGTTTATTGCGTTCCATTCGAAGTCGTAATTTTTTGATAATTATTATTCCAAAGATATTTTTGGAATATTAATTTTGTTCAAAGTCCTTGCGAAGTGTTAGTGTAAACAATGTTATTAAGTCATCAATTTCTTATTGCCCACCAGCGTGATGTTTTGTGCATCATATGATGCATTGTAGCAAACTTATAGTCAGAATTTTATTCAGATTCCAGATTTGACAATAGCTATTGTCATTTTGTGAAATAATGATACCACATATAATAGTGTAGTGATGAACACAAAAATCGATAAACAATCAGTGTGTGTGTTTTATAATAAATGTTACAGAAAGTGACAGGATAGCGATAGCGTTGACGGCGACATTTTATAAAATAACTTATTACCATAATACATCTATCTGTTTTATTTGTCATGTTCCTTCGTGATTACATTTTTTTATTTATTTCACACACTATAAATATAAAATACTCTAATTATAAAAGATAAGTCTCAGATCGTTAATTAATAGTCAAAACTAAATCATCGGTTCAGAAATATTGCATTTCCATATCGAATAATTGCGGAACGTCACTATTTAGTACTTGTCATAACGTTGCAACACTGAAATTGTCAAATCTGGAATCGAATTAAAATTCCGAGTATAGAAACAATTGCCAGGCTTTATATAGCAATAAAAATGATGTGGCCCGCCGTCTACTGGTGACAAAAATTGTATTGGATGCGTTTGGTATTGCATCTTAAGTATTTCTTCAATTTAGGAAAATGACTCGATTACCTAATATTACTTTGAAACTAAATTCCTGTAAAAGTGAGTCGTACTTAGTAAATAGCAATAGCGTCTGAAGCAAATATTTATTTGTTAAAAGTGCAGGCAATAAGAGTAAAGTTAAATAATTAAAAACATCATATTTACTTAGGGTAATCGTTAGTTCCAGTTAATTTATGCCTGTGTCGTCGTGCATAAGTAAATTAAATATCATTAATAAATTATACAGTGTTGTCTTAAATATATTATTGGCTTCTGTGTCAATCAAAGTGAATCAATCGTATTCTAAATAACAATTGCGCTGTGCGAAATATAAATGTTAGTACTATGTATTGTTACTATTATTTACAAATACTAAAATGTTTAGCGTATGTTACTGTTCGTGACGACACACTGTGCGCTCCGAGTAGTCTAGATAGAGCTCGGAGCCTACAGAAGATGAGATCTATTTATTTATAGTAGCTGAAAGTGTAGTCAAGTACACACGCCGAACGTTTGCGCTGGCAGTAATGCGCATGTGCACACTCAGCAACTGGTAGTGCGTCCGCAAAGTGTACGTCTCGAGCTGTGTATTTGTGCTGCATGCGCCGAAATATTGTATAGAACATTAAGTCGTGTATTTTCGTAGACTACTTACCATACCTGAAGAAACAGCCTTCAATATTTAGGGTTTAATGTTATGACGTGTTAAGTGGGAAAATATACTAAATATAAATCAGGTTCATATACTTATTACTTATTGTGTATTTTGATGTAAGAATTGAGTGAAATTGTCTCGTCGTTTCTTTCAACTTGTGTACAATTTTAGCTTTTGAAATGTTCTTATCGTAAGTGCAAAAGTATTTGTTTAAATTTTATGAATTCTTGAAATTATATTGATATTTATATGCTTACTTAATTGAAAACTAATACCCTAGATAAATATATGATAACGATACAGTGCGAGTATTCTTACGATAATTATCTTTCATTTCTTACACAGTATTTAGCCCCTGCGGGTTTAGGGAGCATATTAGTTGCATATTCGTTAGCAATATTCACGTGCCGTCATATATAATTTGGTAGCCGCATTCTGTGAACTGTAAAATTATTTTTTATTACAACGAATACTAAGTTTATTTATTTAAGTGCACAGCGGGAGTAACAAACAGTGAGGATAGGAATTCGCTTATATAAAACCATTTGGTTTATTTACAGCCTGGTCTGGCCTTAGCTGAGCTTTGCATTTTATCTAATATGCAACAGTTTAATTGTTAAAACATGATATTCTCGTAAGTATTTGTTTGTTTATGCTAAGAACTGATCATGTCCTATGTTGTGGTTACACCTTGCAATTGAATGTCCCGAAGCTCAGCTAGTGTCGAACTGAGACGAAGTGTGTATTGAGGATCGTGTGAGTAAATAAATTGATAGTACAACCGTGGCTCTGTTGTGCAAACTCCACGGCTACTATTCGATAATAAACTAGGCATCAACATGTCATGTTTCAAAGCACATTTAATAGTAGTTTTGTGTCAGTATAATTAGAGGATTTTCACTCTTGTTTATGGCATTTTTAATTTTCATTTGTGGTGGTTTTTTTATAATTAATGAATGGACAGAATGTTTAATCTGATTTAATGTATCTCTACATCATCTAGATTTGAACTAACTGGACAAACAGCTGACGAGTAACAAACGATAACGGGTGTTTAATATAACATAACGGTTACACAATATAATGAGAGATCCTTAAAAATATTGTTAATACCAGCGAAGAGCTCTAAAACGTACATACATAAATAAATGAAATATAAACATGAGCATTTTATAAAGACTAATCATACTAAACTACACACTAACTGCTTGGATACGACAAAAATTTCAATAGGCCTCTACTTAGGTACTGTCGCCGAAATATTTACATCACATGAACATAGATCGACAATATACAGAGTTTCACCCGAATATTACTTCCATAACACCAAAATTTACGTTTACGGTAGACGTGATGGCTACAGTTCATTAAAACTATAATTGATGTAATACAATGACGTAACTTGTAAAGCGCCATGCTAAGGCTACTGAATGAAGGAGCACTAGCCTAGCTTTGCAAACGGTGGCTGTGAACTAATACAACACTCATACTTAGTACATGAGTAGCTTGACTTGTAGATTTCTATCTACAAGTCTAGGATCTATCCAAATATGCAATTGCAAGTAACTCTGAAAATATATTTTTTTTAAATGGCTCTTCTAAGATACCGACGTTTTAGTCGGTCCTCTGTAACAGCCTATTGAAATTTTTACATCCATGTCATATACTAAATCTTCTCGTAATTATTTTGGGAGATGATGTACTGGTATAAAACCATTAAGCATCGATGCGTAGATTTCTTTTAAATTATATCAATTGTGAACATTTTAATTAAATTTCCGTATGGTATTGTTGTTATATTGTACTATTATGCTATATTGTATCGTTTTCTGAAATAAAAGACTTAATTTATGAAATGTTTGTTTTCTTTTTAACATAGGTTCGATTCCCACATGAAACAATTGTTTTTGTATTATCCAATTAATGATGCACTTCTTACCTTCAATTTTTTTATTATAGCTCATAGTAAAAGAGCGACGTTATTATTGATATATAAGGTGCTATATAATTATCTGCCACGGCTTTAATAGAAGATAGTGTTATGTTTACAGACAATAGTGAGTGGAATAGAGAGAGTACAATAGAAGGTGGTCTTGTGCAACAGTTATGTGGATAAGTAGTTAGGGAGTGTGTAAAGAACTGTGAATACGATGCAATTGTTGTAAATAAGATTTACAATACGCTAAACAACTTTAAAATTCGCTAAGTTACAGTTTATCGTTATCTGATACTAATTTAACTCGTCGAGTACCGTCATTATAGACACAATTATAGAACAATAGGTTGCGGTCACCGGTGACCGTTTGGTGTTTGACAGTTTAAATTAAAATAAATAAAAAACACGATTCATGCTTGATAGTGACAACGCTAACACGCTAGCTTTAAGTGTGATGGGAAGTTTATCATCTCATTTACCTACATCAGCTTTTCGGAAGAATGCCGTACCTGGTAAGTAATTGCACTTTTAAAACACTTGTTAGCCTGCCTGAATATCTAGTAGATTAGATAGTGTTAGGCTGTGTGAATATTGACATAAAAATTTGGACTAATTTCTCGATTGATTTATTTTGACACCTTACCTGATACGATACGAAATACAGTTACAGTACCTACAGTTTTTTTTTTTTTTTTTTTTTTTTTTTTTTTTTT